AATTTTCAATACAAGTTTATTGAAACACATTTAACTCAAACCCATTTAATATAATATTTTTTTTCAAAGTTTCATCTTTGGATTTTTGCAATTATTCGCCACTTTTGCATTCTTTTCTCCATTTCTTCATCAAACATAAATTTTTACATACAAAACACTATATAACATAAATTATGTAGAATTTAATCCAAGAGACAATAAAATATCATAATTTAGGGTCACGAATAAGTGAATAAACTACACTTATCAATATACATGAACCCATTTTTCCATAAAGCTATAAAATGAAAATAATTGCTTATTTTCAAGACTTAATTAGTTTCTTTCCACTACTGTCTTAATTAATGCCCGTATGAGGTTAATGAATTTTAAAATATGTGCAGGCTGAGTATAAGTTTATGAAGAAGGCTATAATGGCCTTCTTCATCTCAGTAACAACCCCATCTGGAATTGCAATTGGCATGGCACTATCGACTACTTACAGAGAAAATAGCCCTCGTGCTTTGATTACTGTTGGCTTACTTAATGCCTCGTCGGCTGGCCTTCTGGTTTATATGGCTTTGGTGGATCTTCTGACTGCTGATTTCGTGGAAAAAGAATTGAAAGGTGGCATCAAGTTACAAATCAAATCTTATATGGCTGTTCTATTGCGTGCTGGTGGGATGTCTCTCATGGCGAAATGGGCTTAGAAACAATGAAACTTTGCATCATCAAATAATAGTTTGCGAAAAATAATTTCGTTTTCAGTTTGTTTTTGATTTGAGTGAACCATGTTGTTGAGTACTTCTAAGTACAAGTTGATCGCTTTCATTTTCTTGATGTACAATTGTGGGGAAAAAAAAATACTTTCTTTGCATTTTGCTCTACAATTGTGGGGAAAAAAAAATACTTTCTTTGCATTTTGCTCTTAGTTCATGCTTGACTAACCTTGAAATTTTAATATAAACTACTATTTCGTTATCAAAGTTTTCTTAATTTTGAAAATAATCACTATACACCATCAAAATACGTAACAACTTTTTTCTTATAAGGTGAGAGGAATAAAGTGAATAACTTAAGTGCAAGGGACGACAAACCATTAATGTTAACAAGTGCCTACTTAAAAAGCAATTTTAAAGTAATAAGTCGAATTTAAGCCAAAGAATGGGACAACTGAATATTTATTACACAAATCAAAATATTTTTCTTTTTCTTCTTTTTGGTTAATTTTTAAAATGGCTTTCTAAGATTACATTTTTCCAGCCCATGAAAAATCACAACTTCAGAAATAGTTAGTATAAAGCTGTTGAAAATTTGAACTCACTAATTTTTTGACAAGTCAAACTTCTAATCCAAAATGTATAATTTTTGAGTTACAGGATCTAGGAAAATTTTCAAATAATGTCAGGATTTGATATTGAAGAGTTTGCACGAGTCCATGAAATATACATAGTAGGTGCATAGTTGCAGATGATCGTAGGATGGCCAGCTAAGTCCACAAATGGCTTGTTGGCGCCCGTCCAATGCTATTGGACGACTATGCCGCAGCATGCAAGGAAATCTGCATGCCTTGGGACAGCCATCCAATAGCATAGGGCAGCCCGCCCGCCTTGGCAAAATCCACAACAAGTGCTTTCCCATGTTTAAACCACACGTTTAATATTGAAATTGTTGTTCAAAAAATCAATAAAATAGATTTTGGAATGAGAGAAGGTTTTGGAGAACAAAACTTGGGTCACATAGGCAATGGAGACATGTGGTCGCATGCTGGCATGCATGGATTACATGCCCAACCATGAACAACCTATGCGGCAGCGTAGGTTTGTTCTATGCGGCTGCATATAACTAAAAAAGAACCATTCGGCTGGTTTTTTAGTTTGAATTTTTTTGTGACTTTTGGTAAAAATTTTGTAACTTTTCGAGGATTTTTGGAGCCATTTCGTGGATGTTGATTGAGACTTATATAGATATCTCATGATTAACACAAATATATTGAAAACAATTGAAATCATATTCCATTCCAAAATAGAAAAGATCAAAAATTCTTTTCATTCATATTTAAAATTCCTCGTGTTCTAGAGATGTTAATTAATCTAGTGAACCTCGAAGGAGTAAAATAACTCGAATTGAGAAGACTTTAGGACGTGATGAAATTGACTCTCAACTTATTTCGTTTTACCTTGTAGAAGGAAATGAGAAGAATGTTTTAAGAACAATTCCTTTCGTTCTATAAGAGGAGACCGATTCTAAAACCTAT